ATGCAAAATTTTTTTTGCAGTGAGGGGAAAATTGGTTTTTAGTTTATTTATTGTGAAAATGAACAGTAGCATGCTTGTTGAAGAGTTTCCAAGAGTTAATTTTTATTTATTGTGGTAAGGTTTAGCCAAGAATGGTATTGAGGAGGACTGTTGTGGGTTGGAATAAGTCTAAGAGTTTTTGACCTTGGAATAACTTTTTGGACTGTGACTATGACCACTTGGGTTATCCTTTGAATTGTCACTCACTGTAGAAAATAACAGACCTTTTTATGACCACCTTGGCTGTGACAACCAGCTGACAATACCTCTCTTTAGCCATTTTCCCCAAATGACATATCTGTGATTTCTTTATTTAGTTCACCCGAGATAAGCAGTGAAGACATAGGTCATCTTTGCCAGTCAGTATTACAGGACTTCAGTAGTGTCCTATCTGTAGATCCAGCCTCCTCCACTCCAAGCCACAACTCATCACTAGAAAATGGTCTGATTGCTGCTCAGGAAAATGGCGGTCTGGAGCATGACGTCACTGAAGACATCGATGACGTCATAAGCAGCTCGCTTATGGTGAAGCTGGTTGTCATGGCGATTGCAGCTGTGACCAGACTACAGTCAAAGGGTGAGTGTCGACTGTTCTCTTACTGATGATGTGGTGTGTGACCTGTGGGTTGCATAAATGATTTGTTGTAGACAAAGTGTTAACGTAGGTAGCCATAAAGCCAAGTAAAGGAGATTGAATGAAGCTAGTCTGCGAGCAGGTCCTCGTTAGTAGGGCTTGGACACTAATCGTAAGGGAAAGTATGAGGCTTTGAGCAACGTGAGCCGGCGAGATATCTGCTAGGTGGACTTACACTGAAAATGGGTGCCAGACACCTGGCAAATTTCTCTAGCTCCCCGGCCGGTTTCAAATCTTCCCCAAGTCTTTCCGTGGACGGAGAAACGCTTGTCGTGCAGCTGAAATAAAGCCTTTACGAGCTGTTGAGTGACTTAGCTTGAACCTCTCCTGATCTGAAAAAGTATCGCCTCCAGAATTCATAATGGAAAATTTGAAAAAAAAAATCGTGTTTTTTGTATTCCGAGTTCATGATGTGGTTGTGATATAAGGTGTTCTTTAATTTGGCAGGTTCTCAAGAGTCGTCGGTAGCAATAGCGTTCACTTTAGCGTTCTTGTCTCTTCTTCTTCAACACTGTATTTCGTCGTTAGAGATTTACTTAGCTAAAGAACACTCCAACGCAGAACACCAAGCGATGAACGGACCAGCAAATGCTGTGCTCTCACACAACGGGCTGAATTCGGAAAAGTTGTCGAAACACGATAATTCCGTGACAGGAATTACAGCGCAAAGTAATTTAAACCGAAACAAAGCAATCAAGAACGTCTTGAAACATCGGCGACGAAGAAGGAGGCGAAGAAATATCGATTACAGCTTTGACAGCTACAGTGGCAGCGGAAGTGATTTGGAGGAGTCGGAAGACAATGAAGAAGACGAAGACAGCGACTTGAGTGAAGGCGGAGAAATGGACGGGGAGTTGGAGGATTTGGTCAGCGATGAAGATGACAGTGAAGATGTTTATGTAGAAAGTGAATCGGACGAAGAGGGTAGTAACACTGGATCCCTGCCAAAGGCGATGTCCACGGCTGCAAATGGACGACATCTGATGAAGGAAACACAGCATAAACCCGCAGACAAGTCGCTTTGTCATCAAACTGCTTCAGACAAGCTGGGGTTTAGAGCCAGTCTATTGGGACAAAATGGGATTTCAGTGGGGAAAGTTTTCAGGCCTGATCTGTTCAGTGATGTGAGCGACGCAGAAACAGGTAACAGAACAAATTTCCATTAATGGACTTGAATCCTTATCGTTCTGTATACATAGATTCAGTTCCAAAAGATTCATTTATGAAAGTTTTCTGCGTGTTTTACGTTTAAAATCAAAATAACAATTTTATGTTTTGCCAAAAATTCTCTCAGGCGTTTAGTTCGTCCGAGCAGTTCATATCTTGGTTAGCTCGCTAGTACTTTGTTTGGTTGACTGGATAGCGCTGTTTTGTTTTTCTTTTCGCCCTGTGGTTTCGATGGTTTGTTTGTTTGCTGTTTTTATAGCATCCGGGGTGCCACAAGCGACTTATTTTGTCTTTGGGTGACTTGTCTAACTTCATAATTTGGTATTTTTAACTGAATTTATGACGTAAATTGGCCCCCGTTAAGAGTTTCTTTGTTAGCTGTGAAACTCTTAGCGGTGGGCAATTTACGTTATGAACTCAGTTGATAATATCAAATTACCGTGTTATACTCTCCCACAGACGCAGCACCACAGTTTCTTTAGAAACGTACCCCTTTTATTCATTTTCCTAACGTCAGTTTGCTTTTGTAAAAGCTTTTAAGTGCTTGGCAACCCAGGTTTCCTAAACAGAGCCCCCTGCTGTAAGTCGGTAGATCTTTTGCTCTACATGGTGAGATCAGTCATCCGAGGTTGAAGTACTACTCTGTAAAAGAACAACGGAGAACCATTTAGTTAGCTTAATGAATGTTGTAAATTACACTGGTTTTCTTTATTATTATAATTATTATTATTATTATTATTATTATTATTATTATTATTTATTATCTCTGAAGAGTCTTCAGTGGCCTCAAGAGCTGAAATACTTAGAGATTGTGTAGAATCCAACTTGCTGAAGGCCATAGCCAATCAGAAGCTCTTACCTGCCATCAAGGTGATGACTGACTGGCTGCGACTCAACGGAGAACTGGTGATGACTTGTGTTGAGGTAGAACACTTCATGCAAATAATTTTTTTGAAGTTCGAAAATGATCGCCATGATGTAGTGAAGGGGGGGTTGGGGAGAAAAGCGTTCGCCTGTCATTGCGGTAGCCTGTGTTCTATTGCCGAAGTAGATGTTTCTTGTGGTTTGAATTTGTTTTCCTTGCTTGTAAGAATTTCCTCCAGTTTTCCTCTCTTTACGGGAAAAAAAAACCTTGCAAATGGTGACTCGACCTAACATCAGATAATAAGGCTTGAAGAGCTACCCCTACAAGGAAAATGAAAATATCTCCTCACAAGCTTACAAGCCTCTGGCTTCGTACGACAGAAATTTCAAAATACCTTCTGCAAACGGCTGGCTTTGAACGACAAAAATTTCAAGCGTAGAAGTTTGTCTTTGCCTTTGAATTCATGGTTGAGCTCTTCTTCGTTGTTGTCTTAGAGCCTCAGCTCCCTGTGGTCAAGACTGGCTGTTCTACTGAACAAGTTTCCATCGCCAGAGCAAATGATTGTTGCAGGTAGGCAATGCTGATGGCATTTAACTTACCAATCTGGATCAGTCGCCGTAAAATAACATTAGAAATTAAGTTAATTTTAGAGGTTATTTCATTCGTTTTTATTGTCCTATCTTTTCATATTTTTGTTTGGTAAGTTCCATTAACAAGACTGCAAACATGGCAAAGTGTTCTTGACGAGCCGCTCGATAAGGACTGGGTCCAAACACGTGGTCTACCAGAAGACATGTCTCTGTTAGGATTTACTCCACTGACCGCTATACACAATAGGCTCGACAGGAAGTGGAGCAGGCTTACGAGGGACTGCTACTATCTTGAGGTAGTATCATTAACACTGCTACATAAAAGTTGATATTTCTGTATAAATCTCATTCCTATTTTATTGTTAACTGTCACTTGTTGCACGAACGATTATGAAAGATGAATTTCTATCTTTCTTTTTGAGGAGCGGTTTAACGCTGATTTCATTCGTTTTGGTTTATTCAAAGGTTTCTTATTTTAGTAATTATTTTAATTACTTTTTTTTCCGCTGTTTCAGGCTGCAGTTCGAGTTCAGTGTTTGAGAAGCTTTGGAATGAAGGTGGCTTCTACTCAGGTACCTTTCATTTGGTTTGTAATTATATTGGAGTTTTTTTCGAGAGAGCTCAGTAATTTTAAGTGTTCAAATACTTTTTGGTAACAACGTACTCTTTGGAGCGCTTTTCGATTGATTTTTGCCAAAAACAAAGCCAATTAGGGTCAGTGGCGAATCAGAACAAAGGGGAAAATCGCGAAGGGTCATTGACCTCTCAAAAGAAAAACAACCAAACTGTCAGAGGCATAGGAAAACGTGAGAGAGAAAGTTTTAACATCTGATTGCTTGGGAGAGTGACAAGAATTTTCTCAACCAATCACAGAGTGAAGAGAAGCAAGACCAATGAAATTCCGGATTACTGACAAGGCTCAGTGAGAAATTGCTCTATTATCTTTACTTTCGACAGGAGCTTAGTTCGTTCGATTGGGACCCGAACACACATCAGTTTGTTGGACCTCAGCAGATGGCGGAACGAGAACAAATGATGGCTGTTGATAAACGACCTGCAGCACCGCCTGTGGTGAGACAGGAATTATTTGGTTGAATTATTCACTTACATTTTGTTGTCAAAAGGGAGAAGAAAAAATGTTGAACACTGCCTTTCAGTTTCCTTTTCCTTTAAAGGTCGGGAAGGGGTGAGCGACTTAGATCAGCAAAGACACAGCATGACCGTTTTGTTTCTCTGTCTCTCATTATTAGGGAGATCATGATAGACGAGCTAGAGTGATGAAAGTGATGGCGCAACAGTTATTACAGGTAATTTAATCATTTGATGATATACAATCAGTGACACCTGAAAGAGTCCAATTTTTTGCGTTTAATTTATCCATTTATCACGTTGGAGCGCTTGATCCGTGGCTCATATTTTTAAGGGAAAAAATATGAGGAAAAGAGATAACTCTAAATACTGAGGACAGGGACGGAGTGTTTAAAAATACAAGCCCACCATT